TAGGCCTAACACTTTGATATTAAACAAACTTCGGTTTTGGTTATTCAACTATTCGCAGCTTGGAAAACCACGATTCGTACGCATCAGCTAGCCAGATGAACCTCTTCGTCGAACAACGGACAAATATTTGACATGTAGGACTGTATTGACCGGTTAAATGACAAGGCAAGACGTCAATGAAAGCAACGATCTCAGAAGAAATGAGTGAGAAATTAATACATCGTCTAAAATTCAGAAAGCAGAGGCCGAGGGGAGTTATTGCAATGCAAATTTTTCTGAAGAAAATAGAACCTGGCCATCATGACCTTCGTGAACTTATTCATCAAAGTTAAGTCAGAGTAAACATTCATTGGACAGTGAAAGCCGTAGTTTAATGAGTACAGTAGAATGGTCATTGAACTTTGGTCAACGACGAACACCAGTAACAGCAGGGGGTTCATCAAAACCGTAAATGGTATCATTGGTTGCAACGACATTCATGGACAGCGAAGGGACACAGTATTGTTGTAGGATAATGCTACTCAGTATAATCTCTCGCATGATACGGCGACCAGTCAACGGTGAGGTTAGAGCTCGTGTTCCGAAGTCGTTTGAAAAAATCGAAAACACACAAACATGTTGGAAAGGCCCAGATGTTAAGGAAATGCTTAGCCGGTGGTTTCCTGTAGCAACTAAATTAGGGGTGCATGTCATTGAGCCAATAGAATAATCAAGTTGGGGAATTCGCTCGAAGTATTGGACCATCCAGTATTAGAATCAACTTAGGGTTAGTTGTATCAAGGGGCATTAGCACATTTGGACGGAAATTACCAGATGCTTAACCATTTGAATGCAGGAGGTTTTTCGCCGTTTTATAAATGATCGTTTTAATATACTTTCGGTTTTCCAATTGCGAATTCAAAATGAAGCGCCAATAATCGTCCTAACTCTTCTACTAGCTTCAAATAATCTAGTCAAACGTGATCGCGCCGAAACGTCCTGGTTTACTACGGTCTGATTAAACAGGAAACACTGTTATCCAAATTTCAGTTATTAAAAACGTCCATAATCGGTCCCCCACCCCTTCCTACGTAAATATACATTTTAAAAAGTCTACACAATCTGCGAGTTTTCAGAATACTAAATTCTATAGACTCTTTGACTTAGTTTTTCACTCCGTAATCTGTCTCGTCTCGAACTTTTCATCACATAAAAGGTGGGAAATATACGATACGATGTTTAGGCAAACATAGCATGACCTGCAGTTTAACCGATAATAGGTGACCTCTCATATGAAATGCTATCGGAAATGCTGAAATGTGTTTTCGAGTGGAAAGAATTAGTCAAGCTTGGTTGTAAAACTGATTATCCCATGGCATTATCTAATGCACTCCTTTCTATGCGTCTAAAAAATCTACATTGTACAAAGTAGGTTATTAGGCTGTTTGAATATTTTTACTGACTTTGGACGCACTTGTAAATCCAGATGTATTCTTCAGAAAAGTGAACAAACTACCCCTTGTTGTGCTCATCAAATAGCGCAGCGTATCATCTTTAGTCATCATACTCGAAAGAAGGGCAAATTGGATTTTTAAGGGGTTAATGGGTAAGGATGGGATATGTGACCCCATGCTGGCTGCTAGGAAATCTTTCTTCTCGGCCTATCCAGGTAGATGTGGTTCACAACGCTTTGAATGACAATAGGTGGCAAAGGGGCTAAGCGATACACGAATTGTGACCCTTCCTAGTATAACTGACGTTAAGATGTCCCTATCGGACTAAAGGATAGGGTGAGGGTTAGTGTTAGGGGTTGGGTTCATCCTAAGGTAAGAGTTTCCAGTCATGGGTAAGGGTTTAGACTTAGAGTTGAGGCTACGTTTAGAGCTTCTTGGCTTAAGGTTTCCGGGTTACGGTTGGGGTTAGGGTTTATGATTATGGTTGAAAACTACGTTTTTGAGGTTTGGGTTTAGGTTACGGCCACGCTGGACTTTTCGATAAAGGCTTGAGGGTTACCTATTTCGGGCATGGACATGAGTGGTGTTGGTGTTGTAACTAACTGTAGTTTTCCCAGAAAGGTTACATAACATACCCCTACCGATTTTTAATTACTGAATAATTTTGAACCCGGCGTGCTGATACAATCACACTTGGAGCTCCCGAAATTCGAGCTGTATACTTTTCATTAAAGAAAATTCATGTATTTGTACATATCGTTAAGGACTTCTAAATGCTGCAGTAGTTGTGCACTATGTTCCATACTTCATAGGGCGAATAAATAAACAGACGAAAGCAACGCTGCTTGAATAGATGTTTTATAGTTTCACCGATCTTATTTTTACAAATGATTTGAAAACCAAAGGTTAAGTATTCTTTGAGAATAAAATTTAAAGATGGCATGATTTACTGCACAGTGAATACAGGATTGGAGACTTTTGTGCATTTTACCCATAAAATATATCAGTTTTTATGGTGTTTGAATTAAATCGAAAAATTACTTTCCCCTAAGTATTCATCTGACCAGTTGTGATAAACTCGACAGCCCCGGTGGGACTCGAAACCTTGACAATGAGGACAAGGCTTGAGTACGGCCAGCGATGTAATAGCTAAGGTTAGGAGGCGAAACTGAAGTCCGTGAATCTAATCCCATTTGGGTTACATTACCCATGATTAAATTCACAGCCTTTGGTGGGACTCGTAGCTCAGGTGGCTAGAGCGTTGGCTGTATTCAAACATTGTCCTTGTTGTCGTGGGTTTGACTGCCACCGAGAATGCCGAGTTTTTCGTAAATAGTTCAGATGAATTATCCAAATCTGTCAAAGCGCCAACTAACTGCTTAAGTAGCCACTTTCCACTGAATCTAGCCTTGCAGGCGCATGAAAGAAGAGCGTTTAAAAGTAGAATCCTACAGTAACTGAAATATACTGAAATTCTGCTGCACGATAATCAGCATTGAAACTATGCCTAGATAACGTTTTCTAGTCGAAAAGATACGTTTAAACAACGAGGGTGTGCACCCCTTGAGAAATGTACAACTGCACATCACCCAATTGGTCATGGTCAATCATCATCGAAAATAGATAGAAATAAATCGAGACCTGACAGACCGCATACTTTTTGGGACAAGTTTGCTATAGTTGCTTATATACTTTCATTACGCCTTAGAATTCGAATTATTCTATAATTCCCAAATACGGGCCGTTTTGTTATCACTTGAAATCCTTCAGCAAATAACTTGTTCTTCCACGAACCTCTTTGCACAATGGTAAGATACCAGAATGAAAACCCCGATGACTACAGGGGATACCTATTCTCGTGTCTCAAGCTTTAACTCTGAACCTAACCGGACCACCTGGAGTTTTACGTGACGTGAATTGTAGTACGGATGCCCATATTCACTTGACTTACTGCTTTAGCTGACAACACTTTAGCGGTCACTTTTTGCTTTTAAGTGCTCCTGCATTGCAGCAAACACACGGGAGAATGTTTAAGTTGCAATTGATAAAGCATGAACCATAGGCACCCATCTGCTTGTACAAATAAGTGCTTGCCTCGAGGTTAAGGAGATGCCTCATCACACATCGAAATCTCGAATTTCACTTATGGTCGAAAACCGCAGGAGCCATATCCCCTTCCAAGTTTAAATATTTTCCGTATATTCGAATATTGGTAACTGCCTAAATTAAAGACTTATAAAATTAACAACGAGATTCTGCTTCTTTTTGATACTAACAGACCCCTAAACTAATGGTTTCTTCTAACCTTGTTCTTTACCAAGTTTTTTACTGTGTCATTAAACTTGTGGACGGAAAGTCTCAATTGCAAAAATAATAACGATTGCGACAACTCTTTACAATGAAAACTGAAATATTCCAAATGTTTGAAACAGCAAATATACATGCTTACAACAGAACTTACCCTTGTAGTTTTCAGTGAATCAGATAACCTAATTTGGACGGGGAGTTCTCCGTTATCATACTTATTAAACATAAGCCCATGAGTTACGCCTGATCACCATTTCCTTTTTAATTTGTTTTCGAGAGAAAAAATAGTGATGTAAAATGCAATACTGTCCCGCGGAAAATCGCTGTTTATTAGAAAGCTTGAGGACATTATTATAATAAGAGAAAACAGTAGTTGGCGTTTTTCTATATCGGTGGAGCAACGAATCCGCTAGGCATTGGCGGAAAATGAGCGTTTAAAAAAATTAATTAGCTTACGTTTCCTGGATATAAGACCTCATAAATTGAAAGTAAAATGCTTCTAAAATATGGGGTATTTAAGCTCATAGGTACACGCGCACCGACATTATTATATAATAAGCCCTTTTTTAGGATAATTTTGACCTATTACATTATGAAGAAGCTGCAAATATGTTCTCAAGTTCCTGCCAGGCCTGAAGGTTAGAGTCCAATGACAACATTTATTTCCGAAAAAGCATAAAATCCAAAATGATATTCCTGGTTGAAAGATCATTCGTTGAATTCCCTCAAACCGGTTGAGACTTTCAACCGAGTGCATTAGATAAGAAGCACACCATAATGACCGTAGGCAGCCGCCTTGAGTGTAACTGAGAAATTTTAACATAAAGCCGAACTAACCACATCATGTCTCTGATTTTCAAATTACTATGTTCTCATCTAAAGTATTTTACAATTACTACAAAAAGATCTATTCTGTAATATGTTTGTCATATTCACTCCAAATTTAGTCGGGACCTAAGGGAGTTAACAACATTTTTCCTCGTTAGAGGTTTGCATTCCTGCATACACGTGAAACCTTAACCACATATAAGGGCACTTATGAAGGCCAATGAACTCTCGATGAGATCCGTTCGCTCACAGTATTGGTCGCAGAGTCAAGTCTGCCTCACACGTCACCGTGTAGAATGTTAGGGCGCTAAGAAATCGATCGGCGCATGTTAGGTGCATTCATGTGGGTGGGTGCGTAGTTGGAGCTATTCATTTCGTTGTCGCTTGGGTTAGTAATATAATCTTACCGCTTGACACCCGTTTGCGATCAGGATGTCGGAAGATGAGAAAGTCCTCGCAGATTACGAGGGACCATGTCTGACTATTTGCACTGATTGCTGCCATTCAAAGACTGTACCCAAAAAGTATGCTATAACCATTCTTACTGCCCTCTGGGGCCTGTTCACGAACATCGAACGTGCAATCATTCTTCCCACAATGTGGCTTTACTTTACCACATACTGGAGTGAGGACACAGCAAAAAAATTCTATGGTGCTACAATGGCCGCCTTTAGTCTGTCTGTGCTTCTGTTTACACCACTCTATGGTTACGCGGCTCACCGTGGAGTTCACACAAAGTATTTGATTGTGCTTGCAAATTTGATAGAAATTCTGGGCAATCTTGCCTACCTGATCGCCCAGCAGCCCTGGGTAGTTTTGGCAGGCAGATTCATATCAGGTATTGGCGGAAGCTGTGACACGCCAATGTATGCCGATCTGGCCCGGACCACAACGGTTCGGGAGAGGACGCCCTACGTGGCTGTAACCTATGTTTTCAAGCAGATCGGAATAGTGTTTGGCCCAGCATGCACACTTCTCATGCATAAACTCCACTGGACCATGGGCGACTTCACGCTCAGTGTCTACAACGGACCTGGACTGTTGATGGCTTGTCTCTGGTGCCTTCACACTATACTGGTCATTTTCTTTTACCCACTTGTGAAGAAACCTCCACATCCCGGCTCTGACGTACCATCAGAAAAACAAGAACTCGTCCTCAATGATAAGACGAAGGTACGCAATAAGAGAGGATGCTGCGATAGTGAGTGTGAAAAGCTGAAAGTTTACCGAACGTACCCTGTCCTCTCAATGTTTGTCATGGTACTGACGGCCTATTTTTGTGTAATGAGCTTGGAGACTGTTCTCTCACCGGTGGTAAATCATTACTTCAACTGGGACGAGGTGAAGGTCAGCTATGTATATCTCGGAGCCAGTGGAGTTCTAATAATGATGTGCTTCATCCTGCATTTCCTATCGAAACGGATTGAGGACAGACGTCTGGCGTTGGTCGGTTTCATTCTCTTAGTTCTGGCCTATGCCTTGCTGGTCTTCGTCACAGCCTTTCTTCAATACACCACAGAGCTGGTGGGAATCCCACTCATACTAACCGGTATCTTAATTCACGTGGTTGGCATGCCATTGGCATTGGCCGTGACGGAATCACTTTACACAAAGAAAGTGCCCAGGGATGATTTGGACCGTGCGCTCGCCTACCTTCGATGCGTAGCCAATCTTGGTTTCTTGCTAGGACCCCTGGAAGGTGGCGTCTTTGTCGCATACTCCTACCTTGTGTTCCTTGGAAACTTCATCTTGAGTGTGATTAGCTTGGGTCTTATCGCCGGCCGGTACTCTGAATTTAAAGTCGACGAAGCGGTGTCTGAGTATGAAAAACTTACAGACCAAAGTTCACCAGCGAAAATCTCAAAGAAATGATTTAAACAAATCCAAAAACACATATAGCATGTG